CACTGCCTTCATATCTTCCCGTTCTATTTGCCAGGTGTTGATGGGCCCAGTGGCCATGATCTTGGGGTTTTTTTTTATGTTGAGCTTCAGACCATTTTTTGCACTCTCCTCTTTCACCCCCATTAAGAGGTTCTTTAATTCCTCATCACTTTCTGCCATCAGAGTGGTATCATCTGCATATCGGAGGTTGTTGATATTTCTTCCGGCAATCTTAATTCTGGTTTGGGATTCCTCCAGTCCGGCCTTTTGCATGATGTATTCTGCATATAAGTTAAGTAAGCCGGGGGACAATATACAGCCTTGTCGTACTCCTTTCCCAATTTTGAACCAATCAGTTGTTCCATATCCACTTCTAACTGTTGCTTTCTGTCCCACGTATAGGTTTCTCAGGAGATAGATAAGGTGATCAGACACCCCAATTTCTTTAAGGACCTGCCATAGTTTGCTGTGGCCCACACAGTCAAAGGCTTTTGCATAGTCAATGAAGCAGATGTAGATATTTTTCTGGAACTCTCTGGCTTTCTCCATAATCCAGTGCATGTTAGCAATTTGGTCTCTAGTTCCTCTGCCCCTTCGAAATCCAACTTGTACTTATGGGTACAAGGATATCTTTTATACTTTTGTTTCTGTTCATGGGGTATTCTTGGCAAAGATACTGGAGTGGCTTGCCAATTCCTACTCCAGGTGGATTGCGTTTAGTCAGTACTCTCCACTATGATCTGTCCATCTTGGGTGTCCCTGCACGGCATAGCCCATATCTTCTCTGAGTTACTCAAGCCCTTTGACCACGACAAGGCAGCAATCCATAAAGGGGCAGGCAATAGTAGATTCTGGCAATTTGGATTCTTGGTACATGGTTCATCAGATCTTGCACTTTCACATATAAGTCTTAGGAGCGTGATGTTGTAATAAACCTTTAGACTCCCATATTAAATATTCACTATTATTATCAGATTTAGAAATTATAACTTTGCTACACATTAAACACACACATACACGTACCCATGCCACCCCAGCAAAGCTTTTCCACCATCTTTGTGAATGATGCTACTACTCTGCTTTTCAAATCACTGTCCTCTGCATTTCCTGATTTGTGCAGCATTTACCTGATTTGTGCAACATATATTATGACAACACATTGCTGCCACCCACTGGATACTCGTGTAGTAAGGCCTGGCTGTGATTTTTAAAAAGGCTAACTTAGAGTATCACCATGTGAGAAGAATGGAAAGACGGTGGGCCTTCCCATAGGTGAACCACACTCCTCTTTGACAACCGAGGTATATATGATAAGCAGCTTGTCAGTGTATGCAGGGATATAAGAGTTGAAAATAGACTCTCCTCCACGAGCCCTGCCCTGAAGGGAAAGAAAGACTGAAAGGAGAATCACTCTTGGGATACTAGGAGATAGCAGGAGAAAGTGCTAGGAAGATGAAGGACATAGCAGGAGAAAGAAAAGAGATGAAAAAGCCCAAAGAAGAGAACAGGAAGAGGACTAAAAATGGCAGAAAAAGGGGTAGAAGGAAGAGAAAAAGGGAGTGTGTGTGGGGGGAGATAAAGATGTAGGAGGTGAGTGAATGAATCACTTTCACCCTACCCAAGGGGTAAACTGAAAGAAGAAGCAACAGAAAGACACTCATGAAACCTTTGTACTGGGGATGGATTGAGAGAGTTAAAGAAGGTGGAAACAGAAGCCAGGGACAAGCCCTGCATACAGGATAACCAGGAACCATGGAAGGAGATAAGTTTGGAGAGAAGGACTGAGACTAGAGAGCGAGAAATAGGATATAATTGCCAAGGAACAAGTAAAGGAGAAGTGGGACCAGCATCCTTGTTGTGGCGGCCTGTGCATTTGCAAACATCCACACCTTCACTGTTGGTGTAATCTGGAGATACTTTGTGGGGACTGATGCTAAAACCTGATGTTTTGGCTATGCTGGGAATGAACCTTTTAAATAAATTTAGACTGTCGGCTCAATGTGAAGAACCTTTTGAGGTGGTGGTGGAGCGACCCCTTCACAGTTAAATAAAAAGAATGTTCCTAAAACAGAATCTCATGGTTTTGGGGGGGGGGCGGCAGCAAAAGTATCAGTACTGGGGGTGCCAGCCTTGATCCTAGTCACACACCATCCTCCCCAATAATGTTAGCAAAAAGGTCTGGATAATTTAATTCTTCACATTTCATTAGGAAAGAAAAAATAATATGAAGGTAATTTACAGCAGAACAAATGTAATGTGTTATGGACAGAATGTTTGACTAGGACTCAGGAAACCTGGGTTCAAATCCATGCTTGGACATAGAAACTCAGACAGAAGATGGGAGTGACATTAGTAAACCACTCTTTAAGTATATCAAAAACCCCACTAAGGTCATCATAAGCTGGAATCAATTTGACAGCATTTAATGAGTGTATGTGTTTTGTGCCGTCAATTTGGAAATGACTTACGGTGACCCTACTAGGGTTTTCAAGTAACAGAGATACTTAAGAAGTGGTTTTAACAGTTCCACTCCCCCAGTCAATTGCTATGGCTGAGAGGGGATTCAAACCTTGTTCTTCAGAGTCCTAGTCTGTCACTCTGTCCACTACACCAGAGGTCCCCAACCCCCAGTCCGCGGCCTGGTGCTGGTCCATGGCCTGAGGTGGACCGGGCTGCAGAGAGAGACCTTCCCCCGAACCACACTCACTCCTTCCCGCACAGCCTGTTTGTGCATGCACACAAGCACACACTTCTTTGAACATGCGCATAAGCTCAGGGGGGGTGCCCCGCCTTCCCCAGCCGGTCTGCAGGGCTAAAAAGGTTGGGGACCGCTGCACTACACCACACCGGGAATCCCTTAAACATGCACAATACTTAACTGTACTTGAAAGTATATCCTTTACACTTAACCTCATAGCCCCTTGCACTAGCAAACACAAGCACAACTTTCTGCTTGTGGATTATTATGCTAACCTAATACTCCATGACCATACTTTAGTAGCACTACCAGACAGCCTCAGGATCTTTGGAAGACTCACAGGGATATACATACCAACCTTGTAAAATAATTTCCCTTTAAAACCATAGCGAAAAATTTTAACTCGAGGAATAGTCGGACAATGATTGTGCAATGATGACTGGTTACTGTAGAGGAGAAAACAGAAAACCAGACAGGGAGTGGAATGAAGTCTGGAAGAAGGTATAGTTGGCACCTTGAACAAAAGCATTTTATACAGGCTGAAATCCTGTTGCTTAGTATAGGAATTTGCAACTAGAGTATATCCACTAAATTACATGGGATTTCGTAAGACCAGGTCTTCATAGCTTCCACAGACTCAATGAGCCTACTTTAGTTGCAAATTACTACACTAAGCAACAAGATTTCAGGCACAAGTCAGTTTCAGATCCCTCTTGTGTCTTTTTTCACAGCTTTTAGTCACAGCGGCATGAATTCTGTTGACCAGCACTGCCACACCTCTGAAATGACTGTCAAATCTTACTGCTAAAAAGTCACTGTATAGCTTCAGCAGCCCAGGCTTCTCTGTAATGCACAGATGTAATAGTATTGACCAGGTCTTACTGCAACATTCACCTTAAATCCTAGCACAGAAGATACTGGAGAGAGCATCACTAGACAAAACATTTCTACTTGGTCAGGGCAGGAAGAAGCTATGTTAAGGAAAACTATGTTAAGTTCCAACTAACAGGGCAGATATTATTAGGTCCAGGGCTGGTATTCTCTTCACCTGACATGAGGGAGGAAGGGGGGGGAAGTGCAACCAGGCTTAGGAGGAAAAAAACAAGGGAAGAGATTAAAGAGGTGCATGAAATCATGCACGATATGGAGAAAGAAGAAGGGAAATTTTTTCTACATAATCTCCGAGCCATCTACAAAAGCTAAATGATGGTAGATCTGCGGTAGACAAAAGGAAGTGCCTGTTCAACACAGCATATACCTAAACTGAGGACTTCACCACCAGAGGTTTTAGCAATAGCCATCAAATTTAGAAGGAGATTAGGCAAATGCATGCAGTGTCAGTCTGCCAATCATGATGGTTATATATTCCCTTCAGCATCTAAAGCAGTAAGAACCAGAGGCATGGTGAACAGGCTGAAAGTACATTGGATAGAGCAACTTGGGAGACTCTGGTTCAAATCCACACTCAGCCATAGAAACTCACTGGGGGTGGCAATAGTAAAGCCACTCTTTAAATATCTCACATACAGCGGAAACCCTATTAGGTTCACCACAAATCAGATGCAACTTGACAACACATGACATCACATCTAAAACAATATACCTCTGAATACTAGTTGCTGTGCAATGTAAGGAGGGTGGTACTGCCCTCATGTCCTTTCAGCTTGTGATTTTCCCTGAGGCATTTGGCTGGCCGCTCTAGGAAATTAATGTTGCCTTTGGTCTGATGCGGCAAATCTTTTCTTATGACCAGTATGATCACTCACATTTTAATATGAAAAAACACATTTAATTATCTTGAGATGTGCATTAAGAATATTTTAAAATATGACATTTTAGGACCCTCTTTGCTTTTCACAAATCAGATGAACAGTACATTAGCAGAATGATGAAACACAATTTTGATTCTATGCAGGAGAATTGCAGCTGTCCTTCTGATACTTGCTTGTACAATCAGCTACTTTGCCTCTTTAGCGCATAATCTGAACGACACCTTAGCTTGTTCATGTGCCATTCATCTCATCTCCCATTCCTAGAACAGCACAGTCCTTGTACTTGAGTGATGTCATTTTCAACTGCAACTAGACCATCTCTTATTCTATCCATATTACTGAAGGTTCACAAGCTCTTCATCTTCCTAGTTTCCCTGCTCTAGCCAACAGCAACAAGATACCTCCAGTCTGAAAAGTCTTCCTCCTTCATTACATTAAGAAACTAAACTACAAGTTCGACACAATTAACCTGGGCCACTGCAGTAGCCAAACAAATGGCAAAGTAAGTCAACTGAAGAGGTAGCATTATTTTTTTGCTTGAAATATGCTTGTTTTGGATTTTTAAAAAACTTTATTTGCTTTCAACTTCTGTGGAAAATATGTATATGAATTAGCCTTACACAGAGACATTCACAATCCACTACTGATTTTGTTCATTCCACAATGAGCAAGTCTGTATTATCCCACTTATAATCTGAAACAAACTCTTCCAAAAGTATACCTATGAATACCACACAAGTTCTAATCTCTCTATAGATTCCCTCTAGATGCAGTTTTACTGCAGTTTTCCACTGGTGCCTTCTAAGTCATTACGCTTTAGGATATTTATATCCGTTTGTTATTAAGTATGTACTCTTATCATACAGCAAAAGTAACTTTTTGTAATCATATTTTAGGCAGCTAATATTAAAAAAGCCTCACCCTTCATCTAAAGCTCAGGTATATGTACAATTTCAACAACTTTTATTAAACTCTATACAATTCTTTTACATTTCAGGATCCCGATTCACAGAGAGATTAGTGCATTTCATGATTTTTCTAGAGATAACTGTTATCCACTAGAGGAGATGGAGCTAACAGGTAATAAAGGTAACATTTAGGATTTTAACAAAAAGATGCCACTTAAAATAAGTTTGAAGCAGTTTCCTGCTTGGCTCTGCATGCTGTTTTCTTACTAGTTCTTTCGTTTCTTTGTATCACACTTGTTCAGACCTCTTTGCTGAACCACAGCTCCTGATAATAGATATTAAAATTTTAATATCTGCCTTTTAAAGGGAAAAGAAATATGTGATTTGGATCTCCGCATATACTGGATGGACTGAAAGGACCACATATTGTACGTTTAGTGAAGGTTGGGAAGTAGGACTCCTCTCCATCATGGCAACAGGATATCATGTCCAGAGATATTATGCGAGTTGAAAACCCGAGGAATGACAAAACCCAAGACAACCTTATTGGGATCAACTGACAAATGAGTGTTCAAAAGTGAAAGCAAAGTACTTCTATATACTTTTATCCAAGGATGATGATATTAAGAACAAATTTGTCCTTCCAGTGTTAATCTACTTGGTTGTACTACAGTCTGAGGTGATTCTTGCCCTTGAGGCCTTGACTATTTATTAGTAATGAAGAACTTGTAGCACACATTGCCCTGGCTGACAGTGAACAGAGACTGCAACAGAACGTCAGGTATTGTATTTAACACCCTGATTTTTTTATACCCAAATCTAGTTAATGGGAAGTATTTAGATTTATCATATCCCACTTACCACAATGGGACCAGCTTCTACTGAAATCCAAGTTAATATACTTGGGAGCTGAAAAGTGATTCTGCTGATGTCAGTGAGATTTCTGCCACTGACTTCAGCAGGATTTGGACTGCACTATCTTTTCAAAGCAGAACAGGAAAAATATCTGTGAATCAGGTTCTGAATTTCACTTTAAAATACAGTAGATTATTCAATGCATTCCAGGTAACAAAAAATCAGAGTAAACATTCAATGGCTGGAATGCACCTAATACACATGTACCAATACAGTACCTTTACAATAAGAATGAATCTTCCCAGAATAAGCATATAAAAAGTTATAAGCTGGTTCACAATTACTTTTCAGTATAATGTTATTAAAATACATTGATGTTAAATCAAAAATATTTTACTATTTACAGGTACACAGTATAAACCTTAAATATAAGAAAAAGCCTATTTTAAGAAGTTTTAAGAGGACATTTAGACAGGTTGGCCCATCTTACAGTGCAGTGGAACCATGTCTGGCCTTTACAAAACTGCAGGCACTCACCAGTCATCTAGCTGGTGCTTCAGCAGAAAATGTTTCGAATTTCACACATGGGATTAAAACCTTTCATCAAAAAGTGCCAGTTTTATTTCCACTGGATTTTACTTTGTTAAGTCCTACTCCGAGTAGCTCAGGGCATTCAACTTCTTCTCGTGCAATCTGGTTACATTTCCACAGCAGGCTGTAATTCATCTCTTCAGTGATTACACTGTCATGTTTGTATTCTGGATGGTTCGCAACAAATTCTCGCATCCATCGAGCAACTGTCATCAATTCTCCTGCAGGAGGTGTCACATGGGATATAATCAAATTCCATTATACATTATATGAACACTTTTTTTGTATGTAAGTTAGCTTACTTGATGAAGTATGCAAGCCTAGTGCTCACTGGGTCTTAGCATACAGCAGCATTTGTGGCGCAAGCTGAACAGCAGTCCCGACCCATAGAACATAACAGCTTGGAATGTAAAATAGGGAGGTGAAGGAAAGGATGCAGGTGTCTTTCACTGCTTGAGGGAACACTACTTCTAAATACAAGGTCACTACCTTGCCTAATTTTGACCCTTAAATTCATACTTAGCACTGGCTGAAATCTTGTTCATTTCCATTATCCTGTGTAAGGCTTAGGATGTTATCAGCACGAATTGGCTTTTTGAAAATTAAACATTTCCTACTTCTGTCCTGATGCACTCATAGGTCGCATGTAATCCTTCTCATTATTGGGAGTCCATGGAAGCTGCGAGGTGAAGAGGAAGTATTTAATTATCAAAAAGCACCACCACTGTTGAAGTAACATTGGTGGCAGTGACTTTTGGTGATTAAAATTTTCTACTTCCTATCCTGCATTCCCCCTCTTCAGTTTCTGAGGCTTCTTAGGGATCTCTTTTTGACTAGGAAAGCCTTTGGGAGTTCTGGGAGGGGAGGGAGTCTTTAATATCCCAAAGAGGGAAAAAAAATCACTGCTAGATTACTGCCAATGATCTCAATCCCACCAATGGTGTTGCTGTTTTTTTTTAACATTAAAGCCCACATATCACCACTGTCCCAATGCTCACAAAGGCTTCCCTAGGTCAAAAAGGATCCCTCAGAACCTGAAGGGAATGGAAATACGAAGCTTTAAATTAATTAGAGTAAGACCGGAGGCTTCACCGTTCACAACCATATAGCTGCACCAATAGGATTTCAATGACTGTGAAGTCAGGACTTAATTCTACCAAGTTTGTCTATTCTTGTTACAATTTGATTATGTGCAAAAAGGTCTGCAGACAAACTTCAATTTCTGAACGCATTTTTCCCATTAAAAAATGAATATATAACATGGCATTCAAAGTTGCAACAAACTTTTGCAGGCAATTAACTTTCTATTTGTATGTAAAGATGTGTGGGGGTAAACAGGGAATGGAAATAACTAGACATCAAAAACTGTTATTAGGCAAATGAGATACATTAAATGTTGATCTACTACTTAATTTTTTCCTTTGGCTTGTTTTAGTCTTTTTAATTGATGATTTTAATTTTATGGCCTTTTTGGACTGTAAACCGTACAGAGTAGATTCGTCTAGATGGGAGGTACAAAAGTCAAACAGACAAACAAACAAACAATCTATTTTGGTCATGGAAAACTTTCGAATTCAAAATTCTCCAGGGAAACCCTTATCACTGCCTACTTCACAAATATTTCCATACCTGATGCTCTCTTTTTTATTAATTTTAGGTAGTTCAGAATGCTACACCTTGTATCCACATCCACTTCCATGTTCTCAAGGTAGGAATTTAAAATTGGAATTAATCCAGGAAATACTCCCTCCTGTAAGAAGCAGAGAACAGTTGAAAAATAATACTTCAAATCCTTAATTTCCTTTTTCAAGGGATTCTCCGACTATTACAGAAAGAAGATCCCCTAAAGGGAGAGTCATATTGGAAGATGCAGTAGCATTTGCAATTGTCACCTGTATCCTCAGCTGAAGGAAAGCTAAAATCCATCTACTGACTTTAGGTCAAAATACTTTAGGTCCTGATTTTACTTCTTCCTGCATCAGTTCAGTGATGAAGAGCTAAAGAAATGAAAAGGTTGTGCCTAACTGCAAGTTTATTGATACATCAAGACTGAAGAACTCCAGAGGATGGTGCGTGCATACGCTGCACTAACTGGATCAAGAATCAGAATGCCAAGACATATACTAGGAGAAGTCCTTGCAAATGGTTATGGTTCTTACTGCTGCCTTCTCCAAAATTTAGAAAGCTGTCCTCACCTTTCCATTGATTATTGTATCTATGCTCATTAAAGTATATTCTTCTGCATCATTTTCTGTACCATTTTGAGCTGGGCCACATCCATCCACTACAGCATTGCCACCTTTTCAATGGATGACAGATTGGGTGTGGGATTCAGGGGTGAGGAAGAAGACAGAAAAATCCAAAGAAGGCAATTAGTTTCATATTTGTTTCATATTAAATTGTCTCACAAAAATCAGATGACAACCAAGCAGAAGCATACCTTTGCTAATGTCTTTCCTGAAATAAAACATGCCCTGACGGACAGCATCCCGTTTCTGGGCCACTTTCATGTTTTCATCCACCTAAAAAAGGGATATGGAAGAAAAGTTATATAGGATTTCTTGGAAGAGGGATAAGAAAAGAATTTGCACACTAGGTCTACAGGGTATAGAAAATATTTTGTAGGACTGGTTTCCTAAATGGAATCATGTATGCAGCTATCTCTCAGACAACACCTGAAGTTCTTCTAACAACTATCATGGAAACAGCTGCTGACTCACCCTTCTCTCCATACCATTCTTTATACAGCCACACAATCAAAGGGGCAGACATTAGCAATTTGAGTTAAATGTATTCGCGAAGGCTTTCAAGGCTGGAATCTAATGGTTGTTGGGGGGTTTTTGGGCTCTTTGGCCGTGTTCTGAAGGTTGTTCTTCCTAATGTTTCGCCAGTCTCTGTGGCTGGCATCTTCAGAGGACAGCAACCTGTGCTCTGGTCAACTACACCAGAGCACAGAGTGCTGTCCTTTGAAGATGCCGGCCACAGAGACTGGCGAAATGTTAGGAAGAACAACCTTCAGAACACAGCCAAAGAGCCTGAAAAACCCACAACAACCAATTTGAGTTAACTTTGAGCTGATTACGTACTAAGTTGAAGAGAATCAACAATATTCTAATAACACAACTTTACTGTTTTTCCAAAAGTTAACATTTACAGTACATAGAACCAGAGTGCTCTTTTCAAAAGTTTGGTTTCCAATGATAAAAACAATAACCAATTGGATGACTAATGTTGTAATTTCTACACCAGTGTTTCCCAGTCTGGGGGTCATGACCCCTAAAGGGGAAGAAAAATGTTTTTGAAGGTTGTGGGACACCTTATATGTGTTGTAGCCCTTGTTTAATAATTTCTTCCTTGACCTTTCAGAGCACAATATTATAATTAGTGTGCATATGAATGGTTACAGAGAGGAAGTCCAGTAATTAGGTGATAATAGGATTAGGAAGGCAGCGCGTGCCGCCACAGCGGTCAGTCAATTAGGCGGGAAAAGCAAATCAACAAGTACTTGCAGTGAGAATCAGTCAGGATAGGGAGAAAAGTCGTTCAGTCCGAGGTCAGGGCAACAGATAGGCGGAAAGTCGAAAAAACAAGCCGAGTCAGGATCAATAATAGCCAATTTAACAGCGCGAATATAGAGCTCTAGGCGAGAGGTTCCAACTCCGTGGGCGGAAAAAATGGAACTGAGAGCTGAGCCAGGCAGAGCATGCGCTATAAGGGGCAACCTAAACTTTGTTACTTTTTTCTAAAGCTCTAGACGATTCCAAGAGGACCAGAGCAGGTGCTGTTTAACCCACTTGTGTGCATTCACAGAGGCCACTATGAAGAAGAAAAGTGTTTTTGAGGGTTGTGGGACACCTTATATGTGTTGTAAGGTAAAGGTAAAGGTTCCCCTTGACAATTTTTGTCCAGTCGTGTTCGACATCCCCGTTTCCAAGCCATAGAGCCAGTGTTTTTGTCCGAAGACAATCATCCATGGTCACATGGCCAGTGCGACTTAGACATGGAACGCTGTTACCTTCCCACCAAGGTGGTCCCTATTTATCTACTTGCATTTGCATGCTTTCGAACCGCTAGGTTGGCGGGAGCTGGGACAAACGACGGGCACTCACTCCGTCGCATGGATTCGATCTTACGACTGCTGGTCTTCTGACCCTGCAGCACAGAGGCTTCTGCGGTTTAGCCCGCAAGCGCCACCACGTGTTGTAGCCCTTGTTTAATAATTTTTTCCTTGACCTTTCAGAGCACAATATTATAATTAGTGTGCATGTGAATGTATGAGAAACAGGCCCTCGAGGGGGGAGAAGCCTCTACATTCTGAGAAGGAATGGTTTTGCCCTATTAAGATACCTTTTTATGCAAACGTGGGGGTTACTTGGTTACCTGGCTGATGTAAAAGGACGCTGCAACTTGAAAAAGGTTGGGCACCACGGTTCTACACCCTTTACATATGAAATGTTTTAGGTTCAATCTGTTGCATCTCTAGTTAAAAGGATTACGTGGTGTGAAAGATCTGCCCCTCACAGGAGACAATATTGGGCTAAACGGGCTACTACTCTGATCTGGCAGCTTCCCTGCCCACACAGCCCAACAATATCTACTACACTATTTATGGAATTCTGGGTTTCATCAATGTGATGATGAACACTGTCAGAAATCTACCAAACTGGGTGGCTTTGTTGAACCATCAGACAGAGATGAAGAGCGTGCTCTCAATAGCACTTCATTCCTGCTTGAATTAAATGCACAACACTACCTACAATTCTGTGAAAGACACAGTGGTTTCTGAACTGGAAAACACGGTTAATGGAAGGACACTGATAACTATCGTGAGGTTAAAATTCTGTGAAAGACACAAGGGATTCTGAACTGAAATACACTGTTAGTGGAAAGACATGGATAATTATTGTGAGGCTAATCTCCTTCATTTTCTAAAGACATTGTAAGATATTATACCCAGGGGAGTGAGCAAAATAAATTCTAAAGAGGATATCTTAATTTCAAGTTACATGTGGTATTGATTTAATCTAGAGGAAAAAAACTTACTTTTGCAGCTATGGACCATAGTCCACAAAAGCTTACACTGGCATAGTAAATGATCATTAGAGGTGTGTCATGCCCTTCTTTAAAAACCTCAACTCCCAGAATGCTCCAATAATTCCTCAGTTGAATTCTGGGAGTTCCTACCCATAGAGACACATATACAGATACCTATCTTTCATACACTGGGAGCAGGGCCTATCTTCTAGACTGTTCTGGGTCAACTTCCTGTACAAAAAGAAATCTGCCCCAAGTGCTTCCTGGGAAGCTTACATCTTGTGGGTATAGTGATTTGGGGGTCCCCTCCATAGAGTTTACTGACCAGCACAAGTACACCTCCCACAAAGACCAGGCCTCCCAGGAAGTACTGGGGTAAGCTTCTATTTCATACAGGAAATAGGCACATGACACCCTGTAAGATAGGTCCTGTTCCAGGTGTGTGAAATGTAGTTATTTGCAGGTGTCTCTGTGGGGAGAACTCCTCAAATTCTAGAGAGCAGGAGAAATTAATCTTGCACTCTAATGCTCAGAACTGTTCTCAACCACTGTATCAAAGATATGCTATGCAACCAGATTTGGTTATGCAACAATATCACTTTTGATGAAAAAATATTGATAATCATTGGTAGCCACAGCTGAACAATCACTTATAAACACCCAAATAGCCATTTTACAATGAGGGCAAAATATTTCTCATGCCCCCTTCTCTTTGACTCCAAGAAATGACTGAACATATGTAGCCCCATATACTTGACTCAGTGCTAGGATCTGTAAGATTTAAAAGGAGATTGACTATACACTTACAAAATATTCTAGTCTGCCTGGAGCATTCCTCCCTAATAACCCTTAACATTAAATTAATCTTCATCTTCTGGACATGACCCAACAACAATCTCATTCAGAGTACAAGCTACAGATTCTATGAATTCTTAATGAAGAGCACAGTAGGAAAGAAACTGCTAAAAAATTTGGGTCATTTTTGAGCGACACAAGAAGAGCCATCAAAAAGAGAATGGCAAGTATAAAAATCCTAGCAACAGAAACACATCACAAATCTACAAAAAGGAGGAAAAAATGCTTCTATTGGGGACAGGAAGGGAAGAATGGTGGGTAGAGAAGAAATTAAACAGCAAAAACCCCAAAGGTAGCCTAATAAGATCACCCTGTATTTTTTGCAGTTGCAGTTCAAATGAAACACAACAGTATACTAAATCCTAAGAACATGTTTTTCATTAAACATATTTGACATTAAGCATTTAGATCACATGACCTTTACAAAAACTAGTTTGAACACACAGGGTGGTTTGTTCCTGAATACATTCCCAGGGGAGCACAGAATGACTTTCTGAGAGAGAAAAGACTTTTTAAAAAATTTCGGGAGCTCAAGAGGATGGGTGGAAAACCCCAGGGGTGCTCAGGGGTCACAAAACTGATATGGGGACTGCTGTGGCCCATGGGCCATATATTGCTCACTCCATTATATATATATGTTCAATTAACATGTGTATTTCAGCAGATCAGCGTTCTTGTGGGCAACCTTCATGACTATCACATTCTTTTAGAGACTAAAGGCAGATATAGAGAAACCTGATGTAAGCCATCCTGAATTCATAAGCTGTAAGCACAAAATAATGATTTCACTCAAATCCTTTTTTTGAATTTTTTTGGTAAGGGATCTCTCCAGTCTTCTTCCACACAGCCTGCAGCCTGCTGCTTTTCAGTAAACAGCACCCTCTTGCTTCAATTGCTTAACTCTTTTGCTCGATGTCTCTAGTCCAATACTATCCTTTTTCTTCTATTTTTGTCCATGCATCACCAACTCTGTATCCTTTCCTTTATCTTCATTGTTGGCTCCTTCACATCCAGAGACGATCTTAGCCCTTGACTCGATGCATTGTTTTAGACTGAGCCAATTTCCCTTTCCCTCAAAGATACTGAACTGCAAACTACTGAGCACTTTCAACAACAGAACCAAACAATCCATACCAGGACGTTTCTGTGACTTCAACACTTCAAGTGCCATCTTATATAGATTCTGTCCTTCATTTGACAAAATATATTGGGATGCTTTTTCAGAATCTTCAGTAGTGGGGCAATACAATGTTTTTAAAAAGAAAATAAATTAAACTCAAATGCTCACCTATGAAAGATCCAAGACATGGAGCTTTAAGAAAAAAAATATCACAAGAGTCCTGATAACGGACAAACTAGCAGCGATGCTAATGAGATTTCTATAGTTATTAAACTGAATAATTAGAATTTTTTAGAATAATAATATATACATCTCACCCCCTTTCCTGTTTGTCTGGATGAAACATATACATCATAAAAATATATATCTAACTGTTCAGTTGAATTACTAGAAAGATGTCACTTTCTCATGTTTAAAAAGCATAGTTTTGCAAGCAGACTTTTTATAGTTCTTTCCTTTGTCTTAAAAGATTATATTGTAAAAATGTTATTAGACAATTCACAAAATTCACTGCTAAAACATCTTGAATGCAAACATCATGGTCTAGATTATTACTTTAGCTCTGCGAATTGAACATTACTCTGTAGCATAAGGTGCTGCAAGAGGAAGGAGAAACTCTCCTAAGTTCATGGACAAACGACAGTGTCTCTGCTCATGCAACACCACGTGTGAATCCAAGGGATTCCTTCAGGAAGAGGGCAAGAATGAAGATGTGTCATTTGGGATTTTTGGACTGCAAATTCCCAAGAATTCTTTAGGCAGAACTGTGCGAGTTCCAGTCCACTGACCTATATCTACAGGTACATTCATTCCACTCATCTGGCTAAGGCTGAAGCCTCTGAGGCTGTACAGCATTCTAGGCCTCATTTCCTGCTGCCATGCTCCCTGGGTATGGTAGTCTGGCTGCCATTTAGGCTGTAAAGCTTATACCTCCTCAAGAACTACCATGTCCAGGAACCAATGCAGTAGCTTCCTCTAAGGAAGGACTGAAGCTGGAAATAATGCCTAGAATGCTATTCAGCCTTGGAGGACTCTGATTTGTTCAGGTGAGTCGAATGAAGGTGTTCTGAGATTTGGAGTTAAAAAAAAGACTAGCACACTCCAGGAGGGAAACTTGTTTAAAACATTGCCTTTAAATACAGACCTCTTCAATAGGATGAGCAGAATCCAACTAAATATTTATGTCTGTGTAAATGCAATGGTGTAACTTGGATCAGTGAACAACTGTTAATTAACAAATCCGTGACTGAATTTCTAGCAGTGAGCCAGTTCTGTGATTGAGACAAGACTAAGAATTAAATTAGGGATTTGTTAATTAGCTGCTATTTGTTCCTCTGAGTTATGCCACTGCACCTATCCAGGTGTAAATATTCATTCAGACTCTGCCAGGTGTTTTTAGGGATCAGGTTACTTGTACCTGTTTTGAAAGCAGAACAACTATGCCATCATTTGGGAGTTTGGAAGTAATGCCTTTAGTTTACAGCACGAGTGACTCTCTTCTCTAAAGGTGGAAATCACATCTTATTCTTGACAGGGGACCATTATCACAAATGACAGCCCTGTGCCAAGTTCTTCAATATTCTCTTTATGTTAGGCAGATTATCTCATATTATCATCTTATACCATTGCTATCCCATTCCAAATTAACTGGTGATGCTGTAGGGACCTGACAATGCTCACCATGATGTCTTTTATTATGGGTACTGGTGACAAACTGAGAAGAGTGTGACTCAGGGATGCACTTTGCATTAAAAGCATGCTGCTTATATACTGCCCCCATGATGCTTAAAGCACTCTCTGAGCAGTTTACAAGTTAATTATGCAGGCTTAACATTGCCCCCCCCCAACTGAGCTGGGTTACTCATTTTACCAACCTCAGAAGGACAGAAGGCTGAGTCAACCTTGAGCCAGCTACCTGGGATTGAACCCCAGGTTGTGAGCACAGTTTTGGCTGCAGTACAGCAGTTTAACCACTGCACCACAAGGCTCTTCTAAATGTAATATGTAGTCTGGTCTTAAGCAAATTCGTTGCGGCAACTGCTCCCTATTATTCAAAGCCTGGTTCACACTGCACCAAATGCTTTCTGATGTGACAGGGAAGGGGAAACTAAATTACATTGGCCAACATTTTTAACTTTAATATGAAATGTCTGTTTAATTTGCACTGACTAATATTTAGAAAAAACTAGCTGTTGAGATTCAGCTGAAACACTACGAGGTACCCAAATTAGTATTTAAACTGCCATATATAATACTTTGGGGAGCTAGAATAAATTAAAGACAAGAAAAAGCACTTGAATACAACATTTAAGAACACATGGGTCACGTAAGCAGAAAAGGAATAATTCCCTCCTTCTAAACATCTTGATTTAATATGTTTTATATGGTTTTAATAATTTTAGCTGTATATTTTATAATATTTTGTAAGCTGCCCAGAGTAGCAGCATGATCACTAAATGGGCGGAGTTTACATTTAAATAAAATAAAATAAAATATTTACCTTGGACAAAGGAATGAGAAAATCCAGCTTGTATGACAGAATGACTCGAGTCAACAGCACTACAAATACAACATATGCAGAATTCTCGAAGTCTGTTAGCTGGACCTAGAGGATCAGAAAGATTAAAAATAAATTAACAGAAACATCCACAAAATGTACAAGTCACCCAAAAAAACTGTATGTCATGTTCCTGTATATATGACATACACACAGGAACATAACATAGAGTTTTTTTGGTGACTGGAATTGGGCGTAGTGAGAGAAAAGACTGAAATATGGTATGCTCTCTTTCAAAAGGTATAAAGAGAACTGAAGACACCATGTTATGTAGGCGTAGTTCTCTGCAACCAACAAAACTGAATCCAAGAACAAAGTAGGTTCTAACTCGCAAAGTGAGATTTAGCATTGTAACAAAAGGGAATCTCTACTCAACAGTGAAAGGGAGAGGGGTTAATATATACACATTAGAGACCAGATCTCTATGAATCTTGGAAAAATACCATCTGATTCAAAATTTGGTGAGACAGCAATGTTGCAAACATTGTAGAGAAAAAGCCCTACATTTTAGCGTTTCTAATAAAGGCTATAAAACAAGGTTTTTCTAAGCTTGTGTCTTTTCCAATGATGCCCTGAAATATTATGCTTTGGTAAGATGAAAACTGATCTTTAGGGCAGACCTAGACATCCTTACAAGACACTTGTACTGCTGCATGTCTCCTTCTGAATATGCCAGAACTGCAAGCTATTCTACTACAAATGAATCTAGTATAGTGAAAGCAGTAATAGCTACATGAGTACACACACTTCATACAAATACAAATCAGAATTTGTGCAATGTTAAACACTGAGGACAAACTTAAACAATGAGCTAGAAATGTCCATTATCAGTAATCTAAAGATGACCCTGGTTAGCACTAGGCACTGAAAATGGACTCTAGTCTTCGTATCACATATCTGAATGGAGATGAACCTAACACAACTATGCTGTTATTAAGAGATAAATAGTAAGCACGAAGAGTGTCAAATTCTTGACTGCTGTTTTGAGATTTTCATTTCCAGAATAATCTACTAAACATGTTTATACCTCACCTCCATTGGTCTGAATTCAACTCTCCATCCAATATCTGAATTTGGAGGTGGAGGTTTAAATCTCATTGTCTGCCAGTTTGTTGACTGAATATTCTATAAGAAACAAAGTATGCATTAAGTTATGAGCTGGAACTTCTTTTCAGAAGAACAAGGTAGATTTGATTTAAATCAAATTGATTTAACTCACAATTTAAGTTTTAAAAAAGATCAATCTGATTATTTAAATTCTTTTTAAATTTACATTGTGATTTAAATCAATTTGATTTCTAAAAAAATCATTGATGTTTTTATTCATCATGCAGGTTAAAAATCACTGATTTTTATCCACCCTGTGGTTCCACAAGTGGTCATCTGGGAATTCAACAAATATGGGTTGTTTCTGCATCTGAGCAAAATTCCTTGGAACATTCCTGAGCCTAAAACTGTTAGACCAGCTCCCCTTAGTATGCATGTTCCCACACTTAACAGTCAGCCCTCAGTTCTCCCAGTCTGCTACTGATAGGGAAAAATAGCTGCATGGAAGGCTAAGGGGAGGATGGGTGGGTTGTGTCCATTCACAGATGACCAAAGAACCACAGTTATAGGTAAGTCACCCAGGTTCTTCCTAGTCTCTGTGAATCACATAAGTGGGTGACTGACAAGCTCACTTACTGGATGGTGGGATGTCAACACCAACACAGATAAAACCGCTGCTCTGATAAACGCAGCATCAAGGTTTGCCCTGGTGTCCAACCAGTAACGTTTGATGAATGCTGAGGACTGTGACCACATCACTGATTTGGAAATAACTCTTAACTGAATCTAAGAAAGGCTGCAGATACAGGAACAGCTCTAGTAGAATGTCCCTTCAAAGATCTAGGGACTGGCTTTTCCCCCCAGCTGACAAGACAGTGTGATTGTGTTCACAAGCCATTTCAATATGTGTTGTGTACATGATCTGTTCATGTATTTTGGATCCCTGATAACTGACAAATAGTTTCTTAGATTTTGGAAGTGCCCAGTTCTCAAATTACAGAAGGCCAGAGCTCTGTGGACATCCAAATATGAAGTGCTTTTTCCAGTTCTGCTGAAGGCAATGGAAAAAAGGTTGGAAATACCAGGGGCTTCTTAAGATGAAGTCCAAAATTACTTTGGGTAGTAAAAATATGTTGGTGAAAAATGTAATCTTATCCTAATAGAATTTCAGGAAAGATGCATGAAGCTGGAGAATGAATGGGTTACCTGCTCTCCACACTGAGGTTGTTGCTACTAGAAATACTGTTTTGTACGTAATGAGTCTTAAGTCTGCAGCTGCCATAGGCTCAAATATTGGTTTCATGAACTGGTTGAGCACTAGTGAAAGTGACCACTGCGGAGATGCGTCCACACATCAGGGAAGACATTCTGTAATTCCTGTAGGAACCTTCTGAGAGTTGAATTTTCAAAAAAAAAATGAGATGCTTTGGAATCTGCTTTGCCATTATCGCTGATAGATAAACTTTTAGGGAAGAGTATGACAAACCCTTTTCTTTCAGATGCAAGAGAAAAGGTAGCATCATGTGTAGCAAGGGCTGGAGTCTATGTTCTCCTAATGGTTTTGCAAAGGAAGAGAATCACCATAATTTCTACATCCGGTGGTTGATTTTCTAGATTCATGGACAATTCTACAATTCTGTTGGAGAATTCCGTATGCTGTCAACTTCTGCCTGGCTAGGTCTGATTAGTGAACTGTCCCTCTGTTCTGCAACAGCAACTGTGGGATGACTGGCAATTGGTGACTGTTGTCATTAGCTTTAACACTGTGAACCAGGCCTGCAGAGGCCACCACAGAGCTATCAAAATCATGTTGGATTCTTTTGACAAACTTTTAGTACTATTTTGTGCAGCTTTGGGAATCAAGTTTTCTCAACCAGCAAGGTCATGAAGGCAATTCCTAGAGTTTTCTCCCTGGCCTGCCCAGGAGCAATATTTTTGTATTTCCTGTCGTTTGCAATGGTGAATAAGTGTATATTTGGATGTCCCCAGAGGCCACAAACTTCACTGAACACACTCATGGTCTCATCACTTCAGGTTGTCAACTATTTGGTTGTCTTCCCTTGCTACATGGATGGCCACTGGTAAGATGTGATGTAGGACACACCTCCACCAAACTGGATTGTCAGCTACAACAGAGGTGTTGAGTGCATTCTACCTTGTTTGTAGTGGTGTTATCTGCACTGTCTTGCCCATTATCCCCGACCAGATAGGCGGGATATAAAATAAATAAATAAATAAATAAATAAATAAATAAATAAATAAATAAATAAATTGTCTCAAACGCTCTGAAAGTCTTTATCACTGCTAGCAATTCTAACTCATTTATGTGGAGCGTTCTCTCATTCTTGGACCAGAGAGCACAAATTCACTGGTTCTGACAGTGTGCCTCCCAATCTGTCAAACTAGAATCAGCATTTACATGGACCCTGGGCCTGAGATGCTTGAACAGCCTTCTCATGTTTAGACTGAATTTGCTGGTCCACCACAAGAGCTATATACCTAGTTTGTGGGCCACAGTTAATCTTTTGAAGTACATTAGGTACTATTTTTAAGGGACCTCATTCTCAGGTTGGCATGTGGAATTACTGCTGAAGATGATGCCATAAGACCTGGTAATCATTGGGCCACATGTGTTATAGCCAACACACCTGGCTTGAATTTTGCCATCAGGATTAGAAGCTTGTCTATCCCATCCTAAGCAGGCTCTTGGAATTCTGGAGTCTAGTACTGCTCCAATATATTGGACTTTCTGATCTGGTTTTAAATGTGACTCTTCTGGCTTTTACGCTAAGGCATTCAACAGCAGACGCAAAGTGAAGGGGGCATCTTTCTGCCTTGCCCTGGAAATGGCAACAATCAACCACTTGTCTATGGATGGAAACACTGTTATACCATGGATTCTGAATAAAGCAGTGACTGGTGTCATACACTTTCTTAAGACTTTGGTATTGTAGGTAGATCAAAGAAAAATATAGGAAACACCCATGGCCTTTATGGATAGTAATATGGAAATACTGTTCAGTGTCCTTGACACAGCAAACCAGTTTCCCTTCTTGAGAAGTGGCAATATTGTTTTTAGTGTCACCATTTTGAATTTCTTGGAATTGATATAAGAATTTACATTTTTCAGGTCCAAAACTGATCTCAAGCCTCTGTCCATTTTGAAACCATAAAATAGTGAGCATAGAACCCATTTGCAGACATCTCTGGAGGAATAGGTTGTATGGCATCTTTTTTTTAAAGAACATAGCTATTTCCTCCACCAGAACTTGAGATGGTGCTGTAGATCTGAAGAGACCTATTGGGGAGAATAGATATACATTCTATAGCATAGCTGTGTTCAATAACAGCCAAGACTCACTTGTCATTGGTGATGGTGTGGCAGATGCTCAGAGGTGGCTATAACTATGGGATGCTATCTTCCATATAGGGGGTCAAAGGGCTGTGGATCTTGTAAAGACAGTCAAAGGTGCTGCTTTGACTTCTCCTGTGATGTCTGGCTGTTTAAATCTTTGCTTTTGAGAGTGTTGCCTTTAGTAATTGAGAATGGTGAAGGTGATGGCTTTTGTTATTCAGAGGGAAATGTGTTTGATGAGTATGAGTATGAACAAGTATGAGTATGGTCGGTATTGCTTTGTTGATACTATGAATAAAACCTCATTCTCTTGGTGGTATTCCTTTTATTGTGTAGTTTGTCCATGATGTCACTCATCTTTTTGTTGCAGAGGTAGGTCTTCTATTCTGGACTCAGAGTCTTCTGAGATACCAACTAAGCAAATCCAAGCAAAATGTCTCAAAGCTGCTGCTGCAGACATGTTCTTGGCAGCACAGTCAGTTACAGAATGCATCTGTTATGTAGCAAGTGACATCTGGACCATTAGGGCTATGACTCTCTTATCACCAAGCAGACTGTAGAGAAGAATTCTGAATTTTGTCCCACAAAAATCTCTGGTATGCCCCCACTGCACCTTGGTACTTGGCTATTCTAATTCCTAAGGCTGCAGTAGAGTATATTTTCCTCCCTATCATTTCCATTTTACAACCATCTCTGTAACTGAGAGTTGTATATGGTGCTCTTTTGTTCTAGTTTGAGAAGCCTCAACAATGTGGCACAGGAGGTTGCAAGGAATTCTGATGTTTCCTGGTGGAAGACAATGATTTGGTAAGTATTCTGGTTGTGTTAGCCTCTTCCTCTTTAGGGGTGTGCTTCACCCCCTCTTTCGCATGCTTTGGTATCAAACCATTACTAGTCACGTGAGACTGATGTTTTGACTTGGTCTGACTAACATTAGTGTCCTTTGGAACTGATGAATGCCTGTCAGTGAGGGGAATCTTGTTACTGCATGCTAATCACTTCTTAAAAGGGCCCACCATGGTCATAAAAGGCAGGAAGGCCTAAAATATGAGAATTTTTTTACAGGAATATTCACGGCAATAACAGAGAAGGGTAGACACAGACAACAGTTGATGATGAACAGTAAGAGCTATTTACAACAATACAGTGAAAAAGACTCTAGACAATGCTCTGAGATGTTTCCTCAGTAGTAGCTGAAAGGGAACTGAAGGCCATTCATTATGTGTGGGAGCATGAGTTCTACATGGACCTGGTTTAACCGTTTTCTTTAGGCTCTTTAATGTTCTGAGTTTTGCAGAGGTGCAAAAACCACCTTACATGTGATTCACAGAGACTGTGACGAATTGAAACCTCCTGATCAGAAGCACTTGAAATGAGCTCAGGTTTGAAAAGTCACAATAAAAGCAACACATTATTAAACTGTAGACCCACCCAGGTTCCAAGGATCCCTGGGACATCCTTTTCTACTGGGGAAGCCTTTGGGAGGCTCAGGATGGGGGTAGGTGGGGAATTTAATAGTCAAAAACTGCCACCAGATCACTGCTGGAAATTCTGATCCTGCTGGTGATAATCCAGCAATAACTTTTGCTATTAAATATTCCCTCTGGTTGTCCCGAGGCTCCCTAAGTGAGGGACAGCCAGAAAGCAATTCTTCACCACAGTACTACACCGCCTTTCAAAGACAGTTGGTTCCATGAAAAGTGTAAACATGGCCCTTTTCTTCCCTTCCTTTAGATAATGTGCCAAATCAGTTACATCAAAGCCTGGCTTGTTTTTTAAACAGTTATCTATTTGTTTTCACTTTTCTTGTTGCACTATACTTTTGCTGGTATCTGACAATCTAGAACCACCTTTGTCTTCAAAATAAGCAGTGATGTAACATACCTTTCTAACACTGGCACATGTGTTATGTATGAGAACACCACATGCTATTGTATATAATTATTTGGCATATCAGAACAGTTGTGTGCTTGACTTGTTTATATTTCACGCTCTATAGCAGTCCCATAATATATCAAACATCTCTATGTAGTTCACAATACATTAAAAAATTCCATCATATACAACCTCAAAGTGGTCAGATTCATTTGCATCATCCAGATGTATTTTCTCTTCAAAGAGAGTAAGTGGATCACGAATAAATAAGTGAGCAATGTGTTGTGCCAAAAGATGGTCAATGCCTGCAAAACCAAGAAGTTGGGCCATTTTTCAATATTAAAAATAAAACTGACCCACCAATAGAAAAAGATTAAGTGAACACATACTCATCTGAAGTTATTTCACAAAATATGATTTGAGACAGAGTGGACCATCATCACAAACTCATGAAAACTGAGTTTTTGGAGTAAAGAGGATAAATATGCTTTCCTAGTTGATAGTGTTGCTATCAGAATTCCATCCAAATACAGTGGTGCCTCGCATAACGTTTGCTTCGTTTAACGTTTTTTTCGCTTA